AAGAGTTTAAGGTTTTATAAGGCTTTTAAGAGTTTCCCCATTCACTGCAGGAACCGATGAGTAAATCAAAATACCATTTTTAATGAAAAACAACACATTGCCCAGTTAAGCGTGAAGTTTGAGGCATTCAGCCCCGCAAAAAGTGCTAAAACCAGACTTTTTTCCACTTCATCAGCACCCAAGCAGATCTGCTCATTTGCTTAATGTAAAAGACAATAAACCTAGCAGCTTAAGATGTGGATCATTCTATGATTCTATGTGCGTATACCGGCCAAAAATGAGATGTTCTACTATGACTGCAGCACTGTCACCGCAGTGGCAGGGAAATTAAAGGTTACACATCTCTCAAGCACATGTATGACTACCGGCATGAGGTTTTCTGGCTGTGCCCATTTTCTTAGAACTGTTTTGATTAAAGACCTAAGACCAAGCGATGCCCCATATCCCTCTTTCACAGGCTGAGAGCAGACTGAGCCACTCAGGCGAAGCCGATATGCAGAGGAGATTGAGCAGAATCATGTTAGAGAGTCACATCTCTGCAATCTGGGTCCGTATCTTTGTATTTTGCAACACAGAAAGCTTGGCAGGAGATTTCAGAAGTGTCTTTAGCCTAAGAAAAGAGAGCATTGAGAATATTCTTGTCAAACTTGGGCATTAACTATAGTAATAATGTCTGCAGCCATTCATTAAATAAGAATCAAGGAGAAGCTGTTTAAATGCACCAGAAAGAAACAAAACTTTCCGTTCCCTTACTTTTTCCTTGACACGTTTCACTTCATTTGAAGCTTGCTAATATACCAGCCAAAAGAGTTGTAAGGGCCTGGATGCTTTCTTAATACAATAGTCACGGCTCACTAGTTAGAATCTGTGTAGAATTAGCCAGCGACATGGGCAAATGGAAAAACATACTTCAAGGGATGAAAAATAGCACTCTTTGGAAGACATAGTCATTAGAAAACCTCCATCAATACAGCGCGAGTCCTTTTCCCATTTCTACTACTCTGCTAGGGAATGATCACAGAATAGTACCCATCAAATAAAGACAAGGAACGTCATAGCGGTGCTCACGCGTGTAACGGGAGTTGGCAAAAACGCAGTTCAGTCTTTCCATGCAAGTGCTTTCCTCCGGAGATTTCTGGGGCAAACTTCATACCCACAGCAAAAGCAGCTTAAAGCAGAATTAGCACAACACGCTGTCACACATCTTGTTCCGTTTTTCCAACTTCCACTTCAACCACCTTTACCTGACAACTGTAGCCAGCAGTACCACGCTGCTGAATAGAACATGACATCAGCTGCGCAAAACTGGCAGGAAAACACACGAGCACAGACGCAGAACGGCCTTGCTTATTAACGTGAACATGATCACTGAAAAGGCTGAATGATATTTCACCCCGTGTCACAAACCGTCTCTCCTGCTGCAAGTCTAGCTCAGCCTTTAGACTATTGTTCATCCCCACAGTATCCGACTGCCTGCCACATAAAATCAATAAGAATAGCAAAGTAGACTTAATGGAGTCTCTGGCATTTTTCCCATTTTAGGGCAATGTCTTGCTGAGGAAGGGTTTCTTTTTCCTCAGACTTCCGACTTCGACTTTTTGTTGGTGGTGCTTGGATAGCAAGAAGGCTTTCAAAGAGAAAAATAAGCATCAGTATCTGCTGGTGAATGCTGCTTGTATCTGTGAGGAAAAAAACCCAGTGAACTGGCATGGAGACCAAGAGTTGAGGTTTCCTGCGCAGCTCCGATTCGCTCTGTGACATGAACGCAGCGTTCTGGAAGGACAGACAGAAGTGGGAGCCCACTACCAAGGCTGGGTCAACCATTTCAAGCAGCTAACTCCTACACTGCTGTCTTTCCCTGCAGATCCCTGCTACTCCTGGCAGAAAATAAAGAAAAAAAGAAAAGTGTGTGTGGGAGGCGATTCATGTTATTTAAAACTATGGGAGAACTTAGATGTGAATTCTTTAGAAAACAGGAGATTAAGAGCATACTAGTGTCCAGAGGGGAACTGGCAAGAGGGATGATACAGGATTCTTTGAAAAAACAGAGTAAGAGGTGATGTACTCATCCTGGGGAAGGATCAAGGCTTAAAAGAAATTCACTTGGAAGTTTTAAAACCAAAACTGTTGGAGAGAGTGAACCATCCTACCCTGCACTATGTAAAAGCTGGGGCTAACAGCTGAAAGGAACCAAAGTCTGTTAGGTTGAAAAGGGCTTTGAATTCTGGCTGGTGCAGCCCCAAAGAAACTCCCCACCTCCATGTGTGTACACAGGCGTGCCCTCGGCGTGACTTGTTTCACCAAGCACCAGGGAAATAGGATTTTTGAAGGATATTAGTGGTACTTACTCATCTTAAATTCCCAACTCTACTTGTTTCTTTGATAGCCATCTGTTGAAAAACCAACCAGCAGTGCATTTATCAGAATGCCTCACTTTTAGTCCATCAGTAGTCTTAACTAATTTCATACAAGATTCCAGTTAGGTGTGCAATTAAGGAAACTGGTGATACAAGGTTGAAACGTACTAAAAGTTGAGTTACACCAAAGAAAGGCAGGGATTTTAAGCTTTCTGCCTTCATTTTAGCCTCCTCTGTTTTTTCATATATTTATTTACTGGGAAGAAAGGAAAAGAGAGTGTGAAGGGAGAAGGGAGGGCAGGAACCCTGGGATAGCACATGCTGGGCTGTAAAATGCAAAAAGAGGTTTTTCAAAACCGCATGTTCTGAACATCACCTTGGAGTCATGCAATAATAAATACTCAATATTACACTGAGAAGGTCTAATTGCCAAGTAACTATAGCAATGGAGAGAAAAGGCTGTCTTTGGACACATTCCCTTCCATCTTAATTTTTCCCTGGGGAGGGGAAAGGGGTACAGAAAATGTGCTCTAGAGCTTTAATGGATAACGTTTTCCGGAGCCCTCTCTGATCACTCAGTGACTCGGATTTAAAAGCAGCAGACTCATTTCTCAGAAGGAAGCTAGACGTCCAAAACAGTTACACTGAACTATTCCAACTCCTTAGAAAGGGTTTAATACAGCAGGTTCCTGACGTAAGGCTGTCAAAATACAGAGACCCGTTACACAGCAACACGACCCTTTATGAAGCACCTCACGGTCCAAGAGCTCACCACTGCTTCCTTCATCCCCATGAAACGGCGCTTTCCAGTGAGCCTAACAGTCTGACAATGAGTGTGAAGTGAGACTACACATTGGCCTGCGCCCGGTATTTGGGTTTGCCAAAGGGAAGACCACACTTCTGGGTTGTTTTTAAACACTGATTTCTGGAATTTAATTTGGGGGGAAAAAAATAAAAATTAAAGAATTATCTGAAGTCTTCAGGTATCTTACGCCTCCTGATATTTTCCAGAGCTGGTTGGAAATGGGAGGATGGAGATGGCACCCTGGGACGTACCACTGGGTCACTGGTTTCAGAAAACACTTCTTTAGCCTGTCAGGGAATAACCTGCTTGATTCTACCGGCATTTTTATAATTAACTTGACGCACAGGTCTATTTTTCATACCAACTATGCAGCAATGCAACCTGATTTGCGTAAATTGCAGGACAGAAAAAAAAATAAGTGGCTTTCTTTACAGAAAAAATAAGGATTGCCTTCTCCAGGGAAACCTCTTGAACCTGCAAGGGCTTAGCTTAACCATGTGCACTGCAAAAGAAGCATTTTTAAAAGCCATTTAGATTTTTTAACTAAGTAAAAATAGTAGGCCATTGTCATTGTTCAGTGATATGTGAAAAAGCTGAACTAAACCAAGATCATCTTTCGTCACTGCTCTAGATCAAAAGCAGTTATACTTTTAAGACAAATGAAAGACCACAAATAATATTATCAGAATTTTTTTTCCAAGTTCAGAGAGTTTTGACTTCTATTTCTTGCTTTTGACTTGTTAAAGAACTTTCACTTTTATAAAACAGTAGAGCCACCTCCTCTCCAACTTGATATAAAAAACCTTGTCAGAAATTGAAGAAATCAAAACAAGTAACCACAGCTAAAAATTGCCTTACCAAGTGTGAATGGGGACATTATTACTTGAAAAACACTCTGTATTTTTTCACAAGGCTTCTGGAGAATGACTTCCAGAAAGCCTACACAACATTTGCAATATGAAATTCAATACAGTAAATTTGAAACTATTCACACTTACGTTCCTGGTCCCACAATGCTGTAGCACACTTCAGGAGGTGCCAAAAACCCATAAATCATTGCAAACCCTTCCCACAACTCTTCAATATCAGCATCCTATTGTGTGAAATGACTTCTTGACTACAATAGTCTTTTCTTCCTGCTATTATTCATCTCCTTTTTCCAATGAAGCAAGGTGTGGGGCTTGGATTGCTCTTAACTAAAAGAGGTGATTCCTGGGACATCGGTAGGGATTGGCAACAGCTGTTTTCTTCACACACCTCTAACTCATTTCAGGCCCTGAAGGGATGTTGAGGACAGCCAGCAAAGACACAGGAACTGTGTCCCACCTCCGTGTGGGAAAACCTACACCAGAATGCATGTCCAGCAGGACATACCCGGCCCGGTAGTAAGAGAGACAGGACCCTACAGCAACCGTCAGCTCTTACCAAGGATGAGGTGAGAGCCCTGAGGGGAGCAGGTCAACGGAGGCGGGCCCAAGCCGGGGGCCCGTGAGGAGGTGGGGATCCTGACTTAGGCTGAGGGATACGAGGCCTCACAAGGGCACAGCGGGAGCCCTGCCTGAAGAGATGAGGCCCAGGAAGGGCTGGGGTTCAAGTGAGCCGGGTGCTACGGGGAAAAGCGGGTTTTTGGGCCAGGCCAAGGCCGAGCGCGGCATTGCGCGCGCCCCCCCCACCCCCCCCCCCAGCCGCTAACTTTGACAACGGCGGCCGGGACGGGGAGGGAGGGAGACATCTCGCGAGATCTGCCGCTTTGCTGTTTGCCCGCGCTAGCAGATCTCGCGAGAGTTGCGCGTGGGAGGAGGCGAGGGCACGGCCTGAGGTGGGAGGGGACGGCCAAGATGGCGTCGGAGGGCGAGCTGGGCAGGAAGTGGGACCGGTGTCTGGCGGACTCCGCCGTCAAACTGGGTAAGGGCGGGGAGGGTAGGGCGGAGCGGGAGGACC